GGGTCACTGGTGGGTACCTGTAATGGTGCTTAATGTACAGTCGGATCTTTCTTTGTTTTTTTATCGATTAAAAACAAACACAAGGTCATCTATGAAACCAATACGAAACTTTATTGCTCTTAGATATAATATCTTTGGGCTAACTTAATATAATTAAGTGTAAGGGGGATGTTGCGGTAGAGGTGATACATGTATCTATAATTGAGTGAAATAATTCTAGATATGAAAGAGAGGGTTTTTCGGTTAACAGTCAGGATGGCCATTATAAAGAGTAATCTTTATATTTGTTTTCCCAGAATAATATAATTATGTTTGAATTCTGTTTTTAATTAAGAACAATGTTCAGATAATAATAAAACACGCGTTACTATTTGCTGGAACATTCAAAAACTTTTTAATACTCAACTTTTAAGTGTAACTATTAAGTATATATATATATCTTAATAATACCCAAGTTAGTGAAAATTTAAAAAGCTCGTTTCAATCAGCAGGAAACCTTATTTTTATTATATTATAAGGAACTCTTAAACTCTTAATGTAATTAAGGAACTCTTAATGTAATTAAGGAATGTTTATATTCTTTATAAATAAGGGATCCTCAGAGACTATACGTAACGAATCATTTTTAATAATATAATAAATGAATTCTATCAATTTTTATGAATGGCTTGGTGGGTTAATAGATGCCAATGGAGAGTTTAATATATCTACTACTTCATTAGATACTTCATTAGTTACTTCGTTAGAAGGCTCGGCTAATACTAAAGCTGGATGTGGTTCTATTGAAATTACAATGCATTCCAATGAAATACAAACTTTATATAAAATTAAATCTATTTGTCATGGTCAAGTATCACATAGAAAAAGAGTAAATGCTGTTCGTTGGCGTTTACATAAACGTGATTCTTTAATAAAAGTATTAAATAATCTTTCTGGAAATATTCGTGTGAAAAAAAGACAAATTCAATATCAAAAAATATCTCAACTTTATAATATTGAATATAAGAACCCTAAGAATTTAACATATCATAATGCTTGGTTTTCAGGTTTCTTTTCAGGAAAAGGTTGGTTATATATAAATAATAATAACTTCATGGCTACACTTTTAGTAAGTCAAAAAGAAAAAACCATACTTGAGAGTATTCAATCTATTTTCAAAGGAAATATATATTTTGATAAATCTTTTAATCAATCATGGGTTTGGCAATGTAATGATTTTGATTGTGAATATATTTTAGAATATTTAGATCAATATTTACTATATAACCCATATAAACAGGCAAAAATTAGAGGTTTTAAAAGATTTTTATTTTTTAAGAAAAATAACTATCATTTAGATGCTTTAAAAAAAAAAAGATTAATTCATTATATTAAATTATTAAATAAAATTGTATTACATTAGTTAAAATCTAATAATAAAATACAATATTTTCATTATATCATAATGAATGATTAAGATAGAGTCCATTTTGTTTATATATACTTAGTATTTATAAAAATATAATAAAAACTAAGTAAAAAAGCACCCTGAAGTATATATTTTAATTATCCCTGCTTTTGGTATAATTAGCCATGTAATTTCAACTTTTGCTAAAAAACCTATTTTTGGTTATTTAGGAATGGTTTATGCTATGTGTAGTATTGGTATCTTAGGTTTCATTGTATGGGCTCACCATATGTATGTGGTAGGTTTAGACGTTGATACTCGTGCTTACTTTACTGCAGCAACAATGATTATTGCAGTTCCAACAGGAATTAAAATTTTCAGTTGGGTAGCTACAATGTGGGGTGGAAGTATTGAATTACGTACACCTATGCTATTTGCAATTGGCTTCTTATTCCTATTCACTATTGGCGGCGTAACTGGAGTTATGTTATCAAACTCTGGACTGGATGTTGCTTTCCACGATACTTATTACGTGGTTGGACACTTTCATTACGTACTGTCAATGGGAGCAGTTTTCGGTTTATTTGCCGGTTTTTACTATTGGATTGGTAAAATAAGTGGATTACAATATCCAGAAACTTTAGGACAAATCCACTTCTGGACAATGTTCGCTGGTGTAAATATTACATTCTTCCCTATGCACTTCTTAGGATTAGCAGGAATGCCTCGTCGTATACCTGATTATCCTGATGCTTTTGCTGGCTGGAATGCTGTAGCAAGTTACGGAAGCTACTTATCAGTAATTTCAATTTTATTCTTCTTCTATGTAGTTTATAAAACACTTACTGGTAATGAAGTATGTCCTAAAAATCCTTGGGAAACTACACCAAATGTTTCACCAACTTTAGAGTGGTTAATTTCATCACCACCTGCATTCCATACTTTCGAAGAAATTCCAAGTATTAAATCATCAAACTAATTTTTTATTTTTAACTAAATTTTATTATAAGATTTTTAAAATAAGAAATTTATTTAATAATTGTATGTAGATAATTAAAATTATCTACATACAATTATCTTTTATTGATGATTTTTAGGAAATATCCGGTATTAACACAAATTTCTGTGGTGTTAGTGGAATAAGAAACCAACTCATGCGTCTTGCGAAGGTTACCGAGACGTACGTGCGACTTTTACTCTCCATAAACAGTGCTATTGATCTATAGGAAAGAATATTGATTAACCTTGGACCATCATATGTTCCTTGGTGTATTATCATATGACATTTTTGGCATACGGAAATTTGTTTACGGTTCATTTGAGACATTATTCGAGTTAGAAATTCTAACTTTATCTTCGTAGGCAACCTAAGAAGGTGTTTAACATGATGCATTTCTAATTTTTCAAATTGTGCATTCCGTTGCTAGGAGAATGCTAGGTTTTGTTCTAGAGTTTAAATAACCTTTGAATACTTTATAATCTTTAAAATAGCGCATCTTGAATTCTCGTGGTGGTAATCAGTACTCGACGAACATTCCTTAATTACATTAAGAGTACCAACAACTTTACCGTTTTGGTTTTTGACGATAAGTTTTGGCCCAAATTTTTTAATAACTAATTTCATAGCATTAAAAGTTTAAATTAAATTATTAAGAAATTTTTAAATAACAGAAATGACAATCATACAGGAATTAATTAAAAACAATTAATTTATTAAAAAACTATCAAAATTTCAATTAAAGAAAAAAGAATTATATTGAGTTTGATCCTAGCTCAGAATGAACGCTAGCCGTAAGCTTAACACATGCAAGTTGAACGTTTTTTAATTTATTTAAAAAAAGTAGCGAACGGGTGAGTAACGCGTGAGAATCTACCTCTTAAACTGCGGAATTTAACTGGAAACATAGAAACATAAGGTGAAGAATCGTGGATAAGTCTAATTAATTTTTTTAATTTTATTAAGAAAATTAATTTTGATAAACATATATTATGGTTAAGAGATGAGCTTGCGTAAGATTAGGTAGTTGGTAGGGTAAAGGCCTACCAAGCCAAAGATCTTTAGCTGGTTTGAGAGAATGATCAGCCACATTGGGACTGAGACACGGCCCAAATACTTTAGAGTAGCAGCAGTGAGGAATATTGGACAATGGACGAAAGTCTGATCCAGCTATACGGCAAGAGTGAAGAAAACTGTATTGGTTGTAAAGCTCTTCGATGATAAAAAGATTATGACATGTTATCATGAGAAGTCCCGGCTAATCTCGTGCCAGCAGCCGCGGTAATACGAGAGGGGCGAGCGTTATTCGGAATGATTGGGCGTAAAGCGTGCGTAGATTGTTTAATTTTAATATTTAAATCCAATCATTATTATATAATGAATATTAACTAATTAAAATGGACTTGAGTTCTTATTAAGAGAGTAGAATTCCTGGAGGAGAGGTAGAATTCAATGATCTCAGGAGGAATACCGAAAGCGAAGGCAGCTCTCTAGTAAAATACTGACATTGAGGCACGAAAGCGTGGGGATCGAAAAGGATTAGATACCCTTGTAGTCCACGCTGTCAACGATGATCTTTTTCTATTTCTTTTCGAAAGAATTGGAGTGGAGTAGCTAACGCGTTAAAAGATCCGCCTGAGGAGTACGATCGCAAGATTAAAACTCAAAGGAATAGACGGGGACCTACACAAGTGGTGGAACATGCGGTTTAATGCGAAACAACGCGCAAAACCTTACCAGCTTTTGATATAACACTTATAGAGGAAATATTATAGTTTCTATTCTTTGTGTTACAGGCGTTGCATGGCTGTCGTCGGTTCGTGCCGTGAGGCGTTAGATTAATTTCTTAAACGAACGAAACCCCTGTTATCTATTGCTATGGTATTATTATTATTAATAATATCAGCACTTTGATAATACTGCCAGTAATAAACTGAAGGAAGGAAGGGATTACGTCAAGTCTTCATGACCCTTATGAGCTGGGCTACACGTGTGTTACAATGGCGAATACAAAGAGACGCAATGATGAAAGTCGGAGCAAATCTATAAAATTCGTCTTAGTTCAGATTGTTTTCTGCAATTCGAAAACATTAAGAAGGAATCACTAGTAATCGTGGATCAGCACGCCACGGTGAATTAGTACCTAGGTCTTGTACTCACCGCCCGTCACACTCTGGAAATTGATTAAGTTGGAAGAGTATATCCTTATTTCTTACTTATTTATCTGAATATTGTTCAGAGAATCTTAATGATTTTAAGATTTAATAGGTTTGAAATAGATATACCCAGAATTTGGTTAGTAACTGGAGTGAAGTCGTAACAAGGTAACCGTAGGGGAACCTGCGGTTGGATTATCTTTTTTTTATTATATTTATATTTTATAAAAAATTAAAAATATATAAACAAAAATTATTCTAACATTATTTACATTATAAGATAATGTATATAATATATAAAATAATGAAAAAATTCAACCATTATATTATTATATGATCTAATATCTTCTATAATTTAATATTCTTACTACAATTATAATGAAGTAACCTTTATAGATAAAGAATAAATAACAATAATAGAATAGTTTTTATTAAATTATAATTAAATACTAAATATTTTGTCCTTTTCGTCTAGGGGTTAGGATTCCACCTTTTCACGGTGGCGACGCGAGTTCAAATCTCGCAAGGGATATTAATTTTAATTTATACTAAATAAAATAATTAAGTTTATATTATATTTTTTATAAAACATGGCGGATATAACTTAGGTGGTTAAAGTGCTAGACTGTGACTCTTGAAACATGGGTTCAAATCCCATTATTCGCCTTTCTTCTAACTTAATTTCATTAAGTTAAGAAGTTAAACTTAGTTACATTACATTATTTAGTTATGTAATATAAGTTGTAACTTTGTTAATAACTTTGTTAATAACTTTGTTAATAACTTTGTTAATAACTTTGTTATAACGAAGTTATATTTTTATTAAAATTTTTTATATTTACCATTAAAGAAAATAGGCTTGATACCCTGGAATGTGAACCACCCGAACCCATTTCGAACTCGATTCGTGAAATCATTCTACATCATATGTACTACTGTTTGCGGGAGACGTGAATTATTATCAAGCCTTATATCTATGCATTTGTAATAATACGCATGTTATAATTTATTTCATTAAGGTACTCTTAATGTAATTAAGGAAACTAAAAAAGAACTTGAAATAACCCCTTTATTTTATAAAGAGTGCCTTTCTTTTATAACATAAGGAGTTAGAATTCTTTATGTAATTAAAAGGCCAAAATAAGGGTATAAGAGCTAAAAAAAAATATTATATAAAAACTTAAAATTAATATAAACACTATTATTACAAATGCATATATACTTATAGTTTATATATTTTTGTTATAAACTATAAGTATATCATAATAATTTATTAAATTAAATTAATAAGAATATAATAAATTAATACAAGAGCAATGAATAGCATCTAAGAAAGGTTCAGGGTAAATACCTATCCAAAGAATTCCAAGGATTAAAGGTAAAAACATAAAGAACTCTCTACGATTAATATCACTCCAACTAGTAATAAAATCAGTTTTATATACACCATAAACTAATCTATTACATAACCATAAAGCATAAGCAGCTCCTAATACCATACCAGTTGCAGCACAGAAAGCAACAAAACTATTATTTTGATAAGCTCCAATGAAAACTAAAAATTCTCCAGGGAATGAACTTGTACCAGGTAAACTGATATTTGCCATTGTAAAGAATACGAATAAAAGAGCAAATAAAGGCATAGTTTGTCCACAACCAGAATAATATCTTAATAAACGAGTTTTATGTCTATCATATAAAACACCTACACATAAAAATAATGCTGGAGATATTAAACCATGACTAATCATTAATAAAATACTTCCTTCAATACCTTGAGTATTTTGACTAAATAATCCGATAGTTACGAAATTCATGTGTGCTACAGATGAATAAGCAATAATTTTTTTCAGATCTATTTGTCTAATAGTTGTACAACTTGTATATACAATAGCTATTACACTCATTGTATAAATAAGTGGTGTAAAATAAATAGAAGCATATGGAAATAATGGAATAGAAAATCTTAAAAATCCATAAGTACCTAATTTTAAAAGAATTCCTGCTAAAATAACAGATCCAGCTGTAGGTGCTTCTACGTGAGCTTCAGGTAACCAAATATGAACTGGTACCATAGGAACTTTCACTGCAAAACTTGCAAAGAAAGCTAACCATAAGATACATTGTCTAGTTTCGCTAAAGTCAGTTAAATATAATATTTGAATATCTAAACTTCCTGTTTGAAAATATATTAATAATACAGCTAATAACATTAATACAGATCCAAATAATGTATATAAGAAGAATTGATATGCTGCTCTAATTTTTCTTTCACGAGATCCCCAAACTCCAATAATAATAAACATTGGAATTAATACACTTTCAAAGAAAATATAGAATGCTAGTAAATCTAAAACAGAGAATACAGTTATCATTAATGTTTCTAATACTAAAAATGCTATGCAATATTCTTTTACATAGTTTTCAATATTAGTCCAACTTACTAAAATACAAATAGGTACTAATAAAGTTGTAAGAATGATAAAAAATAAAGAAATACCATCAACACCAAAAGAAAAATTTAAAGATGAAAAACTTGTTGTAAAGTTAATACCAGAACTTATATCATTTAAAGCAATTGATGAAACATTTGGAGAACAAATACCATTAGTAAATTGAAATAAAGGTGTACTACTATCAAATTCAATCCATAGTAAGAGAGATATTAAAAAAGTTAACAATGATGAATTTAAAGCAATAGTTCTAATAGTTTGTGTTTTCCAACTAGGAACAAAAAATAATGCAATTACACCTAATAAGGGTGTAATTAATACCATTTCAATATATGATAGTGATAAAGACATATATATATATTTTTTTTTTAGTTAAATTTATTATTAATTTATTGTATTATAATTTTTATTATAATACAATAAATTAATAGCATGATTCCATATTATTTTATTACATTCTTTTTTTTTAATAAAATTAATAATAAAATAATATTCATGATTATTTATTCTTAATAAAGATAATTATTATTTTTGTTTGATATCATCATGATTAGTTGAATCATTAGAATAATAATTATAAAATAAGAATGCAATAGCGTATATAAATAAAATACGACTATCTACTAAATTTTCTAGATACCCCCAAGCATTGCTTAAAAGTACAATAGTTGTTAATCCTAATAACATAACAACAGCATAGTGATAAATTAATCCACTTTGCAGTCTACTCCAGTATTGAGCCATAGCTGGGAAAGTTTGAGCAATACCAGTTGGTCCACAAATTTCAAAGAATCCTTTATCAAGAGCTTTGAAACTTACGTTATAGCCAAAATTCATAGTAGTTTGAGAAATATAATCATTATATACTTTATCGAAGTACCAACGTTTATTTAAGAAACTATATAATTTTCTGAAGAAAGGAATTTCTTTAAGTTTAAAGCTTGTAATTGGGCTATAAACAGCAAAGAAATAAGCAACTACAGCACCACTAAAAGTAGCGATTAAAGGTAAAAATTTAACAGATTGTGGAATAAATTCAGATTCTAATAATACATTATTTTGCGGTAAAACAAAAATAGCATTATTCCAAAAAGAAGTTCCAATTCCGATCATCATATCTTTAGCTAAATATCCAACAAAAATACTTCCTACAGCTAAAATGAATAGCGGTAAAGCTAAAATAAAAGGTGCATCATGAGCAGCTTTTACAGTAGTTTTGTAAGCATTAGTTGGTGCAATGAAAGTAAGGAATAATAAACGGAAAGAATAATAAGAAGTAAAAGCAACACAAATACTTCCAATTATATAAGCGAAGCTAGAATCCCAAGTATAACGAGCGAAAGCTACTTCTAAGATTACATCTTTACTATAGAATCCTGTTAAAAAAGGAAAGCCAACAAGAGAAAAACTTCCAATACACATCATAGCATAAGTATAAGGTAGAATTTGAGCCATTCCTCCCATTTTTCTCATATCTTGTTGATCAGCAAGAGAGTGAATTACACTTCCAGCACTTAAGAATAATAAAGCTTTAAAGAAAGCATGGTTCATTAAATGGAATACACCAACACTATATTGTGAAATACCACAAGCAAAAACCATGTATCCTAACTGACTTGCAGTTGAATAAGCAATAACACGTTTTAAGTCATTTTGTACAACTCCAGTAGTTGCTGCAAAAAAACATGTCATAGCCCCAATAATAGCTACTACTACAAGAGCTCTAGGTGCATATTCAAATAAAGGTGAACAACGTGCAACCATAAATACACCAGCAGTTACCATGGTAGCTGCGTGAATTAAAGCTGATACGGGTGTAGGACCTTCCATTGCATCTGGTAACCAAGTATGAAGACCTAATTGTGCTGATTTACCAACAGCTCCAACAAATAATAATATACATATTACTGTTAATGCATGAAATTCCATATTACAAAATACTAATACGGCTTCAGATTTATAAGCTGCAAGAGCAAATACTGTACTAAAGTCTACTGTCTTAAACACTGTAAACAATGCCATAATACCTAATGCAAAACCAAAATCACCAACACGGTTTACTAACATAGCTTTAATTGAAGCTTTTGATGCTTGAAGTCTAGTGAACCAAAAATTAATTAGTAAATATGATGCAAGACCTACGCCTTCCCATCCAAAAAACATTTGTAAAAAATTATCGGCAGTTACCAGCATTAACATGAAAAAAGTAAAAATTGATAGATACGACATGAAACGTGGTAAATGTGGATCTGCTTCCATATATGATATTGAATACAAATGAACTAAACTACTAATACTTGTAATTACAAGTAACATAACTACTGTCAAGCTATCGAAATAAAATCCCCAGCTTGCGTCAAACATTTCTGAAAAAAACCAAGGCATGAATTCAATACTACACGTTACACCTGATAATGCAACCTCATAAAAACACACGCAACTAATAACAAAGCAAAGGAATATACTACTTGTTGTTACTAATGCCGCACCTCTATAACCTAGAAAACGACCAAATAACCCTGCAGATATACTTGCAAGTAGCGGTAATAATAGTACCAATAAATACATAATTTTTTAATTTTATTGTTTTATTTTTTAGTAAATTAATTTTTAACTTTATTGATTAATGTCGTTATAACGGAGTTATAAAATCTATTAACATTATTTTAAATAAATCAAAAATTAAATGATATTCTTTTAATGATATACATTTTTTACATTATATACATTATTTACATTATATACATTATCTTATAATGTAAATAATGTATATAATGTAAATAATGTAAATAACATGTTACTTAATAATCTTAAGCAAAAAATGTAAGAATATTATTGCACTCTGCAGGAATTGAACCTGCGACCGTCAACTTAGAAGGTTGCTGCTCTATCCAACTGAGCTAAGAATGCTATTATTAATTAAAAAAATTTAATAAAATTAATTTTTATTAATTATAATATATTCTTTATTCCCATTAAAATATATCTTTATAAATATAATTTTATAACGAAGTTATAACGAAGTTATGACTTCGTTATGACTTCGTTGCAAAATTATATTTAATGCTCACTATCGGAGTCGAACCGATACCCCAGAAGGAACAGATTTTAAGTCTGTCGTGTATACCAATTTCACCAAGTGAGCCTTCTTTTAAAAATTTCTAACTAAATATTTCTAATTACTTAATTTTATTAAATAATAGAATACTAATAAAAAAATACATAAAAGTTATTGAAAAAATAATACTTTAACTAATAATTATTTCTAAAAATAAAAATTCATAGAAATAAGAAAAAAATATTATTTTTTCTTTTTATGTACAGGTTTTTTACGAGTTACTGCAAATTCTCCAAATTTATGACCAATCATTTCAGGAGTAATTTTGCAAGGAATAAAAATTCGTCCATTATGAATAGTTACATTTTTACCTACAAATTGTGGTAATATTGTAGAACGACGAGACCATATTTTTATAGCTAAATGCGTATTTTTTTTATTATTTTGGTCTGTTGATAAGATAATTTCAGAATATGGAGGTTTTGTTATTGATCTTGCCATAAGTTTTTCTTTGATATTGTATATATATATTTTTTTAAAAAAGTGTTTGCTTAATAATATTAAGCATAAACCTTTATACAAATTCTTAATTATTATGATTTAAATTAATTATATGTTTTCTTAACGAAATTATAACTTTGTTATAAGTTCATGTAAAGAAATTACAATTTTTATTAAGAAATATATTTATAATAACTAAGAATATGTAATAAATCGAGTTTTCACGGGTAGTTTAGAATCTGCTAATCTAGCAGCTTGTTTTGCTAGTTGTGGTGTTACACCATCAAATTCGAATAAGATTGTGCCACGTTTTACTTTACAAACCCAATATTGAGGAGAACCTTTACCTTTCCCCATACGTACTTCAGCAGGTTTTTCTGTTACAGAAATATCAGGAAATACTCTAATCCAAATAACACCTAATCTTCTAAATTTTCTAGTAATAACGCGTCTTACAGCTTCAATAGTTCTTGCTGGAATTCTAGCAGCTGCAGTAGTTTTAATACCAAATTGACCAAATCTTAATTGATTTGTATTAGATTCTATCCCTTTTACTCTAGATTTTTGAAACTTTCGAAATTTTGTATTTTTTGGTTGTAACATATTATTTTCTTTTAGTTAAATTAAATTTTAATGTAATATTTATTATTTTTACTTAATTAAATTAAGTTAAAACAAGAATAATAAATATTTATGATAATATTATAAAGAGTAAATGTTATTTTACATTGTAAGTATACTTTTACTTAACTTATGTTACATTATTTTTAATAATGTAATATATTATTTCATAATATACTATATGATATACATGATTATTTGTTCATTCTTCTTAATTATATTAATTTTAAATGAAATTAATAATTTTGTAAAGTTAAATGAAAAATTTTTATAATATTACCAACTAGATTTTGTATATCCTTGTATAAGTCCTTGATTAGCTAAATCACGAAATTTGATACGTGATATTCTACAGAATTTATAAACTGCATGACTACGACCTGTTAAAATACATCTATTCATAATGCGTACTTTACTACTATTTCTTGGTAACTCATTAAGTTTATTTGCTAAAACAAATCGTAAATTTGTATCTAAATTAGAATCGTTTATTAAAGCTTTATATAAAAGTCTTTTAGATTCATATTTTTTATATAATTTTCTTCTTTTTAAATCTCGTTTTATAGAATTAAACATAATAGTTTTATTAATAAAATGTATAATATTTTATTTATTTTTTTATAATGATATATAATTTATATATCAATTTATTTATTACATCATATAATAATGTTTATAAAAATAATAAATTGATATATAAATTATAGCTTAATGAAATTAAATATAATTTCACATATTATCTATCCACTTCTCCAAATACAATATCCTGAGTACCGATGATAGTTACTACATCAGCTAGCATATGATTTCGAGCCATGAAGTCAAGTCCTTGTAAATGTGCAAAGCCTGGAGCTCTAATTTTACATCTATAAGGTCTAGAAGTTCCGTTACTTACTAAGTAAACACCGAATTCTCCTTTTGGAGCTTCAACAGCAGTATAAGTTTCACCAGCAGGAACAACGATTCCTCCAGTATAAAATTTAAAGTGATGAATTAAAGACTCCATTGATTGTTTCATTTGATCACGAGTAGGTGGAGTAATTTTCTTATCATCTAGACGTACTACTCCTTGAGGCATTTCATTAATAGATTGCATAATAATACGTAAACTTTCACGCATTTCTTGAACACGAATTAAGTAACGATCATAACAATCTCCACGAGTTCCTACAGGAATATTAAAATTCATACGGTCGTAAACTTCATAAGGTTGTGTTTTTCTTAAGTCCCAAGCTACCCCAGAACCACGTAATAAAACACCTGAGAAACTCCAATCCATTGCTTGTTCTGCTGAAACAACACCAACATCTACAAGTCTTTGTTTCCAAATTCTATTTGATGTTAACATTTCTTCGATTTCGTCAATACGTGATGCAAATTGTCTAGCAAATTTATAGATATCTTCGCATAAACCTAATGGTAAATCTACACTAACGCCACCAGGACGAACATAAGCTGCATGCATACGTGCCCCAGAAACTCTTTCATAGAATTCCATAAGTTTTTCACGTTCTTCAAATCCCCAAAGAAATGGAGTTAATGCACCTACATCCATAGCATGACATGTTACTGCTAATAAATGGTTTAATAAACGTGTAATTTCACTAAATAAAACACGAATATATTGAGCACGTAAAGGTACTTTACAATTTAAAAGCTTTTCTACTGCTAAGGAATAAGCGTGTTCTTGGCACATCATAGATACATAATCTAAACGATCGAAATAAGGTAAAGCTTGTAAATAATTTTTATATTCTATTAATTTTTCAGTACCTCTATGTAATAATCCAATATGTGGATCTGCACGTTGTACAACCTCTCCGTTCATTTCTAAAACTAGACGTAATACACCATGAGCCGCTGGATGTTGAGGACCAAAATTTATAGTAAAATTTTTATATTTTGGAGCTGTAATTGCTTTTTCTATAGCCATAGTTTTTTATTTTTATCTTTTATTATTTAAATAGAATTTTTCATTAATTAGTACCTTCTTATTAATAAAAAGAAGATTCTTTATTTTATGAAATTATAAAATAATGTCATAATAAAATTCTGATTTAAATAAATTAAAATCATTAATTCTAATGAATTTTTTTCTTTAATAGTAAATTTGTTACTTGTAATTACAAGTATTTAGATATAATTTTTCTTACTTAATGAAATTTCATTAAGTAAGAAAAATTATATTATTGTTTTGGTTAAAACTTTGATACTTTATAGTTTATTGTTAATTTATTTATTTAAATAAACTGGTTAAAATATTTAATAATATTAATATTATTAAGCACCTCCCCAGTAATAAATACAAACGAATAAGAATAACCAAACAACGTCAACCATATGCCAATACCAAGCAGCTGCTTCAAATCCAAAATGGTGAATTTTAGAAAAGTGGTATAAATATAAGCGAGCTAAACATACAGCTAAAAATATAGTACCAATAATAACGTGGAAACCATGGAATCCAGTAGCTAAGAAGAAAGTAGAACCATAAATACCATCAGAAATAGTAAAAGGTGCTTCAAGATATTCGTAAGCTTGGAATCCAGTAAAGATTAAAGCTAAAACAACAGTAACAGTTAAAGCAATAATTCCTTGTTGACGGTTTCCTGCTAAAATTGCGTGGTGAGCCCATGTTACTGAAGCTCCAGAAGTTAAAAGAATAATAGTGTTTAAGAATGGAATTTCCCAAGGATTTAAAACTTGTATTCCTTTAGGAGGCCATACAGCACCTATTTCTACAGTTGGCGCTAAACTTGAATGGAAGAATGCCCAAAATAGAGCAAAAAATAACATAACTTCAGAAAGAATGAAGATTAATACTCCATAACGAAGTCCTGTTTGTACTGGAGTAGTATGATGTCCTTGATATGTAGATTCTCTAACGATATCTCTCCACCATACATACATTACATAAAATAATGCAATTTGTCCAAAAAATAATACAAAGCTTCCACCAGCATATGCATGCATATACATTACACCACCAGTTGTTGAAAGAAGAGCTGCAAAACTAGCGAAAATTGGCCATGGACTTGGATCAACTAAATGAAAAGGATGTTTTCTCATAATTAAAAAGATTTTTTTATTTTTTTTTTTATTTTATTTAAAATTTTAAATAAAATAAATTAATATATTAACTTAATTATAATAGTATTACATTATTTAATAATGTTTGACATTATTACATAATGTAAATAATGTATAAAAGTTAATATTCTATGTTTTTCATTATAAAATAATGAAAATTACATTATTAAATTTTATATTAATAATGAATCAATTTATTGTTTACTAAAAGAAATATTTTTATAATAAAATTATAAATAATTTATTATAATTCTTCTAATTTATTTGATACCCAAGAAATATAATTTTCTAGAGATACAGCCTCTATAACAATAGGCATGAAACCGTGGTTTGCTCCACAAAGTTCACTACATTGTCCGTAGAAGACACCTTCACGTTTAATGAAAACAGGTACTTGGTTTAATCTTCCAGGTACTGCATCACATTTAACGCCTAATGAAGGAATAGCCCAACTGTGTAAAACGTCTGCTGCTGTAATAATAAATCTAAGATGAGTTTCTACAGGTACAACTACACGATTATCTACTTCTAGTAATCTAAATTGTCCTAATTCTAAGTCGTCATCAGGTATCATATAACTATCAAATGCAATACTTTGATCATCAGCTAAACTATAATCAGAATATTCATAGCTCCAATACCATTGGTGGCCTATTACTTTAATAGTAACAGCAGGATCTACGATTTCATCAAGACTATATAATAAAGCGAAAGATGGAATTGCAATTAATACTAAAATTAAACTTGGTGTAATTGTCCATACAATTTCAATTACTGTACCATGAATGATTTTTTCAGGAATAGGATTGCGTGTATAATGAAATAAATATAACGCTCTAGAGATCATCCATAAAACGAAAACTAAAATCGCTATTAAGAAAAACATAATATCATGGTGTAAATCAATTAAACCTTGCATAATTGGAGTTGCTGGGTCTTGAAAACCAAGTTGCCATGCTTCCGGAGCATCAGCTAATGCAAGAATTGGAAAACACGCGTATGCTAATAATACTAATCTCATAAAGAATGTTTGTTTAATGTTTTTATACTAATTAAAGCTTTTATTTTATTTTTTTAATATTTTAATAAAAATAAAATAAAAATTAGTATATATTTAAATTTCTTAGATATTTTTTAAGAAATTATAAAGATTTTCTTTAACTTTAAAAGGTTTTTATTATATAATTTTATGATTTAGTTAATGTTTATGTTAAATATTTAACATAAACATTAACTAAATATATTATTCTATAAAAAGATTTTTTTTATTAAAGCCCTTTTTTATTAAAGCACTTTTTTTATTAAAGCCCTTGTTTTAATTTAAGCTTAGCGTCTTTAATAGAATCAATTGGGTTTTTGCTAGCTGCTAGACTTTCTTGAATATTAGCTAATACATTTTCTTGTATTTTTTGTTGTAATTTTTGAGGAAAAGATTGTTGCAGTTTATATAAAAATGTATACATTTTATAAACTTGGTAATCTACTTGTTGTCTTAAACCAGATTCTGCTAATTTTTGTGTAGATCCAGCTTGTTCAACTAAACTTGTTGATAATACATCTAAAACACGAGAAACAGGTATTATTTGTTGATAATATTGACGAATTGCTAAATCTTGTTCAATTTGTAAAACATAAGATTGTTCTAATTGCTCATGAATAGCATCACCTCTTTCTTGAATAGATGCTGTAAGTGTATCCCCAAAATAGTGTTTAATTGAATAAATAAAACCAAAAAAACAAATTACTACTAATGTTTCTTCATTATATATAATTAAATGTTTTGAACTTGCTACAATAAAAGCTAAAGTTATATATAATAATACATATGGGTTTATGTTTAATTTAAATGATGTTGTCATAATGAAATTAATAATGAAATTTTATTTATGTGAAATTCTTTTTATTTCTTTTTAATCAGATAATAAAAATTAATTTATAAATTATAAAATATCTTTATAATAATTCTTAATAAAGTTATTAAAAATTATTTAAGCTTTTTTTTTTGAAGATGTTTTTGCTTTAGCTGTTGATTTTTTATTTGTTTTTTTCGCAGCTGTTGCATTGTCTGCTATTTCTACACCAGTAACATTAGTGTTTGCAATAGCAGCATTAGTTGTTTTTGTTCTATTTAAATTAATACTATTAGATGATAATAAACTAGTAGTAAAAGATTTTAAACGAACTACAGGAACATAAGCATTTTTAGTTTTTAATAAGCTAGATTCCCAGTTTTTTGAATCATCTAATTTAGAAATTTTAGCAGAAGCTAATTTTTGCTTAATTATTGCTGGTTTTGGTATTAAACTAGCAGTTATAGATGTAGATGGTTTTAATGGAGCTGCATATTTTAAAACAATGAATTGTGATAAGGCTTGTAGACCAACAGCTTTTTTAAAAGTATTTGTAAATTTTACTAAAGAGCTATCAAGTAATTGTTTTGAATGATTTTTTTTCCATTCATCAGCTGAAACTTGAGCAGTTTGTAAAGTTTGTTGTGTATATCCCATTACGTTAGCAAATAAGCTTTGTTTTGTTTTAGATGCTTCAGTAAAAGAAGTTTGGAATTTTGATTGATTCGCTTTAGAGTCTAGTGATTTGTGACTTAATCTTTCACGAACACTATATATACGATACATTTTTGGAAGGAAGTTTTTATATAAATATAAATAAAAAACAAGAAATCCTACTAAAGTCCAAAAATACTGTGATAGAAATGAAACTAAATCTAATTGTGGCATAGTTATTAAAAATTTTTATTAATTCTTTTTTTATTCATAACTAAATGTCATAAATAAAAATTACTAAATTAAAATTTATAAACTTTTTTAAAAAAGTTTATAATAGATTTGTAATAATTTATTTTCATTATTTTAATTTTTATTATTATTAAAAATTTTGATATTATTACATAATGTTTAACAATAATAAATAGAAATTGAGAAAATAAATGAAAAAATTGGGAGAGGCAGGATTCGAACCTACGTAGAAATAACTTCAACAGATTTACAATCTGCCGCTTTTAACCACTCAGCCACTCGCCCTTATTAGTATAAGTAACAATGTTACCTTAATTTCATTAAGAAATTTGATACCTTATTATTATAAGTAATAATATTACCTTAATTTATTATATTAAGAAATTTAATATTTTAATGCTAATAAAAGTTTTTCAATCTATATAAAATACCCAGTAATTTTTTTAATAATAATGAAATTTTCATTAAAATTAAAAATAATGGGCAAAACGGGACTCGAACCCATGACCTCACGTTTATCAGACGTGTACTCTAACCAGCTGAGCTATTTGCCCTTATTGAAATAAGTAATAATGTTACCTTAATTTCATTAAGAAAGCTTAATTTTATTAAGACCCTTTTTTCATTATAGAAAATATTTAAAATGAATACCGTCCATTCATAAAAATTATACTCATTTTTTTTTCTTAATTTTTGTTAAGAAATACTAAATTAAGTATTATTAAGTACGACGTTTTTTAGGGGGACGGCATCCATTATAAACAATAGGTGTAACTTCTTGAAGTTGTGTTACAATTAAATTAGATTTTTGAAGACTACGAACTGCAGTTCTTTTTCCAAAACCTAAACCTTTAACTTTCACAATTACATTTCTGTAGCCACTTTTATAAGCTTTCATTGCTAAGTCTTCTGCAACTACTCCTGAAGCATAAGTTGTTGATTTACGTGAATTCTTAAACCCTAAACTACCTGCTGATACAAAATATATTGTATTACCTTGCATATCTGTAAGCGTAGCAATAGTATTATTGCTTGTAGTTTGAATATGGATAATTCCATCTTTTTTTTCTATAAATTTTTTAGATATTTTAGTATTTTTTGTAATCATAAATAATTCTTAAAAATTTTTATAAATTCTATTTATTTTTATTAACAATAAATAGAGTTTTATATTATAAATTAAATTTATAACAAGTAACAAATTAATAGTTTTTATATAAAAACTTAATTAATTTCTAACTAATTTACGTGCTGTTTTAGCATTTCCATGTGTTCTTTGACCTCGAACAGGTAATCCTTGAGTGTGTCTATAACCTCTATAACTATGTATAGAAACTAATCTTTGTATATTTTGTTTTACAAAGCGTCTCACATCATTTCCTGTATCATAATCTTGTGCAATTATTTGCGCAAGTAAAGTTTGTTGACCTGGAGATAAAAGACCTAAACGTGTTTCTGGACTAACACCTAAAACATCACAAATTTGTAAACTATGGTGGTGTCCTAAACCATAAATTTGTGTACATGCTTGATAAATTTTTTTTTTATCATTTAAATGTGTATTTTGTATATATGCCATATAATGTTAAGTTATAAAATAGTTTTATCCTAATAATAATTTAATATATCAAGATTAGTTGTTTATTACTTAATGAAATTAAGTAATGTAATTATAAATAAAGTAAATATAAGTACTGAAAAAATAATGAAATATTAAAAAATAAAACTAGTTTATTTTCCAGCTTTTGTTATTATTTTTTCAGTAGATAAACGAATACCTTTACCTTTATAAACACTAGGTGGTCTAATAGCACGAATAGAATGAGCAACTTGTGTTACTTGATTTAAATCTACACCAAATATACAAATTTCAGAAGGACTTTGTAAAAATACACGAACTCCTTTAGGAACTTTATATTGTACATCATGACTATAACCTAATTTTAATAAAAGTGTATCATTAGATAATAATGTTGTATCTAAAGAAGCACGATAACCTACTCCAACAATTTCAAGATATACACAAAATCCACGTGAAACACCAATAAATTTATTTTCAAGTAATTTTTTATATAATCCATTATATTTTGAATCTAATGAACGTATAATAATTTCTCTTTTAGATTGATCAAAACGTATAGAAGCTATACCATTTTTATCTAATTTTTTGAAATTTATAGATGTAGAACCTAATGGTCCTTTAATTGCATATATAAGTTCTTGATTAGATTGATTAGAATTTACATCATTATTATATTTATCAGATAATGATACTTCTACATTTTCTGGTATTTTTATAATAGTTTCAGTTTTCATATATTTTTAATTTTTATTTTTTATAATTTTAAATATTTATTAAATTTTCTTAATAAAATAATTATTTTATTAAGAAAGAAAAAAATATTAAAAAAATCATATAATTATTAAAAAAAGATTAAACAATTAATTGAAAAGCGCTATATAAAAGCATACCATCTTTTTCTTTACCAAGATTCTTGTTGTTACTTAATGAAATTAAGTTATCAAGGTCCTTGTTAACAATTTGTTTATTTATCTTTTTAAAATTCTTCGAGTTTTTAGCTAAAGAGTTACTTGATAAAGATAATTGTATTCCAGTAATAGTTTGAAATAATTCATCATGTTGTTGTAATTCAGGAAAAAAGTTTGAATTTAAAACTACATAATCTTTACTTGATCTATTAATTTTAGTTTTAAAAGAACCAGATTTGCTAGTTTTTTCATTCCAATCTTTACTACGTACTGAAACCATAGCAATGTATTTTTCAAGGAATTGATACATTTTATTTTTTCTTAAACTATTTTTACATCCTAATATTTGGAATTGTCTAAGCTTAAAAGTTGATATTGATTTTCTAGCACAAGTGTATTTAGGTTTTTGTCCTGTAATTAACTCAAGTGCTGTTAATGCAGGTAATATTAATTCTTTATCACTTGCATATAATTTCGAACTTGTATTACATACAATTTTATCTAAAACTGCACATTCCATTATATTTCTATAATTTTGCTTAAGACATAAATCTTGACTTACAATATCTTTATAATATCTTTCTAAAGCTGTATCTGTATAACAAATTGAAAAATTTTCATTAGTTTGAATGTTTTTCATAATTATTAAAGTTTTAGATTTTTATTCTTAATATGATTAAGAAAATTAATTATATTAATATATGTATTATTCGGTTATTATTTTTATTTTTTAATAAAAATTAGTGAATAATAAATAATTTCATTATGTTTTAAAAAAATATTAATTAAAATTTCTAAAACATAATAAAATTATATTTTATAAATAAAATAGCTTTATTCTTTTTCTTATTCTTTTAGTATAGTAGTTTTTTCAATTTGTTCCCAAGGACTTTCAAAATCAAAATATCTGAACTCTTGAGTACACTCTAAAGACTCTATACATACTCGTTTTTCTGAATCATCATAACGAACTTCAACATATCCACTTAAAGGGAAATCCTTACGTAGAGGGTGTCCTTGAAATCCATAATCTGTTAAGATACGACGTAAATCTGGGTGATTGTGGAAGAATATTCCAAACATATCCCAAACTTCACGTTCAAACCAAGCTGCACTAGAATAAACAGATGTTGCTGATTCTAGAGGAGTTAATTCATCTACACATGTTTTAATACGTATTCTACTATTGAATTCTACACTTAGTAACATATAAACACATTCAAAACGAGATGTTCTAGAAGGATAATCAGCTGCTGTTATATCTATACAAATTTTGTATTGAGTTGACATGTGATCACGTAAAAAAGTAAGAAATGGTACTAAATATTGCGGATATACATAAAAAGTAGTCTCATCTCTATGAGATACTTGATATTGAATCCATTTAGGAACCATTAAGTGTATAGATTTTGCAAAATTATTGTTCATATAATAATATAAATGTTACTTTTTTTATTTTTTTCATCATTTACTATTTTATTCTATATTATATATTAAATAATATATAGTAAATTAGAATTTAATGAAAAAATATATCTTTTTATTATAAATTATATACTAATTAATAAAGAGACATATCATAAAATTAAAATATTTCTATTATAGTTATAAATAATAAATAAAACTATAAAAAAAATATTATATAATAATAACTTTGTTTTACCAAAATTATTAAATGGAGATGAACGGAGTCGAACCGATGACCTTATGCGTGCAAAGCATACGTTCTACCAACTGAACTACATCCCCTTAATGTAATTAAGAGTACCTTAATGTAATTTAATACCTTATATAAAAGAATCTTAACTTTGTTAAGAATGGCGTTTATTACTAAATAAAAAATATTTATATTAAAATAAAGAAAAGGTATTTTTATTAAGATATAACCTTACGGAAGAAAAGGGATTCGAACCCATGGTACAAATGAATGTACGCTGATTTAGCAAACCAGTGCCTTAAGCCACTCAGCCATTCTTCCATAATTAAGAATACTATTTATTAAGATACGGGCAGCAGGATTTGAACCCGCACGACCAAAAGTCCTAGAGCCTAAATCTAGTGTGTATACCAATTCCACCATGCCCGCTTTTCTTGTTTGTTATAAATTTAATTTATAACAAATGCAATATTATGAAATATCTTATGAAATCTATATAATATTACTAACTAGATTTGGTTTATTTTTCATCTTTTTTTTTGAATTAATAAAAAAATTAGTAAAATATATGGGTCATAACGGACTCGAACCATTAACCATCTCGTTGTAAGCGAGGCGCTCTACCAATTGAGCTAATCACCCTTGTTTTTCTTAATGAAATTAAGTTAGAAGAATAAGTAATAAAAGTACAAAATTACTATTATATACGGATAAAGGAGGATTCGAACCCCCGATACTCTTTCGAGTATGCCGGTTTTCAAAACCGGTACTTTCAGCCACTCAGTCATTTATCCTTAAAAATTAAAATAATTTTAATTTTTTATATATAACTTTTTTGTCTTAATTTTGTCTTAGACTTTGTCTTAGACTTTGTCTTAGACTTTGTCTAGAGGTGGATTTGAACCACCGACACAAGGATTTTCAGTCCTCCGCTCTACCCCTGAGCTACCTAAACATGTGTATTTTTTTTTAACTTAATCTTATTAAGTTTATACATTATAAAATAATGTTAACCGAGGACGACGGGAGTCGAACCCGCGACCCTTGGCGTGACAAGCCAATACTCTAACCAACTGAGCTACGTCCTCATTATTAAATTATTAATTTCATTTAAAATACTATTTATTCTACGTGATACACACCTTTATTATAGAATTCGTTTGACTTCGTTACATTCTTAAAAATAATATAATACAACTTTGTTAGATTTATATAGTTTTCTTAATGAAATCAAATTAAAACCAGTTAAATTGTTTTATTACTTTATAATAAATTATTATAAAGTAATAAAACAATCTGGTTTTATAAGAATTAGTTAATAAAATTAATTTATTAAAAACTGTATTATGATTTATATTTAATTAAATAATGTTCTAGTTTTCCAGTTAAAGGTACTGCTACTAAGAAGTAGAAGAAGAAGAAAACAGAAGCAAGTTGTCCAACTAAAATATATGGATCTTCAACAGGTTTTTGTCCAATCCAACTTAATAAAACACAATCTGCGAAAATAGCCCAGAAAAGTTTTCTATGAATTGGTCTAAAATTATTACTACGAATTGGTGATGTATTTAAGAAAGGTAAAGCAAATAAACAAATAAATACTAAAGCAATTGCAGCTACTCCAGCTAATTTGTTTGGAATACTACGAAGAATAGCATATACCCATAAGAAATACCATTCAGGTACGATGTGAGCAGGTGTAGACATAGGGTTTGCAGGAATGTAGTTGTCCGGGTGTCCTAATAAATTAGGATAAAAGTAAACAAATACAGAAAAGAAAATAGCGAAAGCTACTGTCCCTAATAAGTCTTTCACATAGAAATAAGGATAAAATCCAAGTTTATCAACTGCTGCAGAAGTTCCAAGTGGGTTATTTGAACCATATTGGTGTAAAGCAGCAAGGTGAACTATTGATAATCCAGCAATAACAAATGGTAATAGGTAATGTAAACTGAAAAATCTATTTAAAGTTGCATTATCTACAGAGAAACCTCCCCAAAGCCAAGTTACAATACTATTTCCAACTACAGGAATAGCACTAGCTAAACTTGTAATTACTGTAGCTCCCCAGAAACTCATTTGACCCCAAGGTAATACGTAACCAATAAATGCTGTAATAATCATTAATAATAATATAGCAACTCCTACGATCCATAATAATTCACGAGGACTTGTATAACTTCCATAGTACAGACCACGGAACATGTGAATATATACTACAATAAAGAACATACTTGCTCCATTTGCATGCATATATCTTAGAAACCAACCTCCTTCTACGTCTCTCATAATATGTTCTACACTCATGAAAGCTAAGTCTACATGTGGTGTATAGTGCATTGCTAAAAATATACCTGTAGCTAATTGAACTACTAAGCAAAGTCCCGCAAGAACACCAAAACCCCAAAAGTAGTTAATATTACTCGGTGTTGGATAGTCTATAATATGAGCATTTAATAGCTCTAGCGCTGGTTGTTTTAAAATTGAAAGTCTTTTTTTCATTTTTTAGAATTTTTTTATTTATTTTCATGTTATACATTATTTATTAGTATAGATAATGTACTTTACTTAACATAATTAAATAATTATATTAAGTAATTAACTTATAACTTATTTATTATAATCAAAATTAATAAACATATCATAACATTATGTCATTATGAAATAGTCATTATGAAATAGTCATTATGAAATAATGTTAAAAGTAATGTTTTTATTTAATGAAATTAAATTTGAGCCAAGTAGGACTCGAACCTACAACTGCGTTGTTATGAGCAACGTGTTCTGCCAATTGAACTATAAGCTCAAATATTTTCTTAAAATATATAAACATTATTATATTTATTTTATAAAAAATAATATAATTATAACTTTGTAATAAATTAAATTTATAATAATATTACATTTTATTAAAAATTATAAGTAAAGAAAACTCCCCAAGTTGGATTTGAACCAACGACCCGATGGTTAACAGCCATCTGCTCTACCCCTGAGCTATTGAAGAAAGAATTTAAAGAAAGATTTTATTAAAGAAGTAAACTAATGAATATTTTCTTTTTTATTTATTATTATTAAAAAAATTAATAATAATAAATAAAAAAGAAAAATTAATATAAACTAATTTAATCTATATATTTTAATAATAGTTATTACTTAATGAGATTAAGTAATAAAAATAAGATTAGTGTAAATTAATAGCATCATTTAAGTAAATACAAATAAGAATTGTAAATACATAAGCTTGTAAACAAGCAACTCCAATTTCTAGTCCAGTTAGAGCAAATACTACAGCAAATGGGATTACTGAAGCTACAGATAATAAACCACCTACTGAAAGCATAGTCCAAGCAAATCCACTTAAAATTTTAACTAAAGTATGTCCTGCCATCATGTTAGCGAAAAGACGAACTCCTAAACTAACTGCTCTGAAGCAATAAGATACTAATTCTAAAACTACTAATAATGGTGCTAAAATTAATGGAGCTCCTTTAGGTAAAAGAAAGCTAAAGAAATGTAATCCATGAATTTGAAAACCAATTATAGTAATTGCAATAAATAAAGATAATGATAATCCAAAAGTTACAGCTAAATGTGATGTAGCAGTAAAACTATAAGGAATCATACCTATTAAATTTGTAAATAATAAGAATACAAATAAAGTAAATACTAAAGGGAAATATGTTCTACCTTTTGCACCAATTTGTTCTTGGATTAAACTTCTAACAAATTCATAAATCATTTCAACTAGTGATTGCCAACGGCTAGGTACTAAATATCCTCCTTTAGCTGTTGTAAATGAAAATAATAAAGCAGCTGTTCCAATACCTAAGAAAATATATAATGATGAATTTGTAAATGATAAATAATAATTACCAATGTGAAATGGAATTATACTTGAAATTGTAAATTGTTCTAATGGTGAATAAATAAAATTAGAATAAGTCATATGTGTTTTTCTAGTGAATCTATAAAAAAAATATTTATTAATTGAAAAAATATTTTTTATAATATATTGTTTTTTTATTATTTATTAAAATTTTAATAAATAATGAATTTAAATTAATTTTAATTTAAGTTGTTTTAAATTAAAGTCAATTTATGTTCTTAATAACTTAATTTCATTAAGTTACAAGTTGTAATAAAATTAATTAAATTTATTAAGAATATAAATTAACTCCAATCAAGAGCTCCTTTACGCCACTCATAAACAAAGCCTACTGTTAATATTATTAAAAATACCATCATAGTCCAGAAACCAAAGAATCCGATATTGTTTAAAGTTAAAGCCCAAGGAAATAAAAATGCTACTTCAAGATCAAAAATAATAAATAGGATTGCAACTAAATAGAATTGTATATCAAATCTTCCTCGAGCATCATCGAAAGGATCAAAACCACATTCGTATGCTGAGATCTTTTCAGGATCTGATTTTCTAGTTGATACTACAAAAGGTAATCCTACTAATAATACTGATAATGCAATTGCAATGAAAAAATAAATTAGTATTCCTAAATATTCGTACATCTTTTTTTTAATTAAAAATTTTGTATTTATAAAAAGATTAAAACTTTTATAAATTAAATATAAAAACTATATTTTATTAAAAATTTATACTTTAATATTAATAATATTAAAAATAATAAATTTAATACTGTTTTGGCTTAATAAAATTAAGTTTTCATATTATTTTTATAAATTTATTACTTAAGTTAATAATTAAGTAATAAGTTTATTCTGGAGTGAAAGGATTCGAACCTTTGAATGCTAGATCCAAAAACTAGTGCCTTACCGCTTGGCTACACCCCATTTATTCTAAAAAGACTATATTTTAAAATATTAATAATATAAATTAAAACTCTTAATTTTAATAAAATGATGATTTGTCTATATAAGAGACAATTCAAATATTATAAAAATTTAATAAGAAATTTTTTGAAAACAATAATTCCTATCATGTAGACACAGGGGGAAATAAAAGAAAATATGTTATAAATTTAATTTATAAACTAAATGAAGTAAAAGAAATAAAGATAATAATAATAAATAAATATAAATATAATAATAATAAATAAATTAATATAAATATAAAATAATAATATTATTATTATGAAATAATTAACTTAATATATTAATAAATATAATTTTATTCTTTATAAAAGTTAATCTTATTATATTATTAATATAAATAACTTAATAAAATCTTTTTTAAATGAAATTGGTTTTATTAATTTTATTTAACTAACAATCTTTAAATAAAGATTATAAAGAACATAAAACAATGAATAAAGAATTAATTAATGATTTTGTTAATTCCAATAAGAATAAACAAGAAAATTTATATATACCAATATATAAACATTATAATGAATTAAAATATCGTATTACTTATTTGATAATTTCTTTAAGTTTTGCATTAATTACAAGTTATAATTATAGACTTGAATTATTATATCTTTTATCTAGACCTTTCTTACAATTAAATCAAATATTACAATCAACAGATGTATCAGAAGCTTTATCAAGTATAATAAAATTATGTATACTTTCTTCTTTAATAGTATGTTTTTTTTATTTTCTATATCAATATTGGAGTTTCTTAGTACCTAGTCAATATAAATTTGAAAGAATAAAAACATCTTTGATTTTATTAACTATATTAATACTTGTTTCATTAGAAAGTTTATTAATCTATTTTATAATTTTTCCATTAATATGTGAAATATTCTCTAGTTTTCAAGTTTATGTTGATAATTTTGATGAAAAAATGAATATAAATGATACTTATAAAATTATAGAAATGTCACCTAGAATAGGATCTATTTTATCATCAACTATTCGAATATACATTATTTTAAGTTTATTATTTCAAGTACCTTTAGTATTTGTTTTATTATTTTCATGGAATTGGATTAATTGTTTTTCAATTTGTAAAAATCGAAAAATAGTTTATTTCTTTTTAATTTGTTTTTCATCTTTGATTTCTCCACCAGAATTTCTTAGTCAAATTGCTTGCTTAACTCTATTATCTATTCTTTTTGAATTTTCCTTGTGGCTTGGATGTATATTTTATTTAAAAAATAAGATTAAATAAAGTATATAAGAATGTTAATAATTAAAGAAAAAAAAAATAAGAACTTTTTGAAAAACAAAAGAGTTTTCTATCTAGACATACATTATTTTACTTCTATATATTTTTAATAAATAATTTCATTAAGTTATTAATTTGTTAAGATGATAAAAGAAAACATAATGTTTTATCTAGTTTTATATTATATTCTTTTTAAAGAATCTTATATAATTAAAAATATTATATTATTTTTATTTAATCATAAAAGATAATATATAATTAAAGATATTTTATTATTATAACTAAAATAAATATCTTTTTAATTGATTTAAAATTAAAAAAATAAAAAACGAATTATGGATTTTCTATTTTATTTATTTTCTAGTTTAACTTTAGTGTCAGGCGCATTAGTAATTCAAGCTAGAAACCCTGTGCATTCAGTATTATTTTTAATATTAGTATTTTTCAATGCATCTGGATTATTAGTTTTATTAGGATTAGATTTTTTTGCATTAATATTTTTAGTAGTTTATGTTGGAGCCATTGCAGTATTATTTTTATTCGTTGTAATGATGTTAAACATCCGAATTGCTGAAATTAGTGAAAAAAGATTACGTTATTTACCAGTTGGTGGTGTATTAGGTGTATTATTCTTATTTGAAATTTGTATACTTATTGATAACGATTTAATTCCTTTATTATATTACGATGTAGAAAAAGCTCAAAAAATTGGATTAATTCAAAATTATGGTGAATTAGCTTTTACTGATTGGCAAACTTATATTACATCTTCTCATACAATAGAAGCTTTAGGAAATTTAATTTACACTTATTACTTCTATTTTTTCTTAGTAGCTAGTTTAATTTTATTAGTTGCTATGATTGGAGCTATTGTATTAACTATGCAAAAAGGTATTCGTGTTAAAAGACAACAAGTTTTTCTACAAAATACACGTGATTTTGCTAAAACTATACGTAAAGTTGCTTAATATTAGATATAATTTTTTTTATTATAATGAATTTAAGAAATTAAATTCATTAAGATTAATCTTATAATTATATAAAAAATATATAAATAAATATATTATTATTAAAAATTTTAATAATAATATCAAATATAAAATTTTTTAGACATTTCTAAAAAATTATTAAAATAAAAATTTAAAAAATAAAAATTATTACCTATGGACTTATCTAAATATCTTACAGTTTCCATGATATTATTTCTACTAGGTATTTGGGGTATTTTCTTAAATAGAAAAAATATTATTGTAATGTTAATGTCAATCGAATTAATGTTATTAGCAGTGAATTTAAACTTTTTATTATTCTCTGTATACATTGATGATTGTATAGGTCAATTATTTGCTCTATTAATATTAACAGTTGCAGCCGCTGAGTCTGCTATAGGACTAGCTTTACTTGTAGTATATTATCGAATTCGTGGAACTATTGCTGTAGAATTTATTAATTTAATGAAAGGTTAAATTAATAAATTCTTTTAATAACAACTTCTGTTTACTTATTTTGTATAAAAAGTCAAAAATGTTGATCTTACTTTTTTTATTATTTTATTTTTAAACAAATAAAATAATAAAAAAAGATAAAAATTTTCTTTATAGTACTTATTTTTACATTGTGTAATAATGTATAAATAACTTATTATATCTAAAAAAAAAAGTGCTTGTAGCTCAATTGGATAGAGCGTCAAACTACGGATTTGAAGGTTGAGAGTTCGATCCTTTCCAAGCACGTAACTTAATTCTATTAAGTTAGAACCATATTTTATTTAATTTTAATAAAATTATAGAATTGTTTTTTAAAATAGAAATAAAATCTTTTTTTATCACGATAAAATCATATAATTTTTAGTATTGTGAAAAATATTAAAAATCAGCCTACTTAACTCAATTGGTAGAGTATCGGTTTTGTAAACCGACGGTTATCGGTTCGAGTCCGATAGTTGGCTTTACTATATGAAAATATATAGTTCAAATACATTTTTAAAAAATGTATAACTCTTAATGTAATTAAGGTAACATTGTTACTTATTTCAATAAGGAAATTTACTCTTAATATAATTAAGGTACTCTTAATGCAATTAAGGAGAATAGTTGCAATGGTAGAATAATGGTTTCCAAAACCAAAGGTTAAGGGTTCGAGTCCCTTTTCTCCTGTTATTATTTCTGCTGTTTAATACTAGAAATAATTAAAATTAAATAAGATTATTACAAATCATAATAGTTTTTTTTTTTTAAGAAAATATAAATTATAAAACCTATAATTAATATTATGAAAAATGTTAATCTTTTTTCTTTTAAAAGAAAAAAATAAGAGAAAATAGATAAATTCAGTTATTTTTTAATAATATTATTAAAGAATACTGATTAATTATAAATAAAATTCTTTAGTTACTTATATTTATTAATATAATTATAACAGATTTAATTTATTTATATTATCTACTATAAATATAAAATTTAAAAAAACTTATGGCATTATCTTTAAGCGAAATATCAGTTTTATTAGAACAAAAAATATCAAATACTTACTCTAAAATTAATATTGATGAAGTAGGTCGAGTATTATCTGTAGGAGACGGGATTGCTCGTATTTACGGATTAAAAAAAATTCAAGCAGGTGAAATGGTTGAATTTGCGAGTGGAGTTAAAGGAATGGCGTTAAACTTAGAAAATGACAACGTAGGAGTTGTATTATTCGGTAGCGACAGTTCAATTAGCGAAGGTGACTTAGTAAAACGTACAGGTAACATTGTAGACGTTCCTTCAGGAAAAGGTGTATTAGGTCGTGTATTAGACGGTTTAGGAAACCCAATTGATGGAAAAGGTCCATTAAAAGATGTAGTTCGTGTACGTGCAGAATTAAAAGCACCAGGAATTATTACTCGTGAATCAGTAAATCAACCAATGCAAACAGGTCTAAAAGCCGTAGATAGTCTTGTACCAATTGGTCGTGGTCAACGTGAATTAATTATCGGAGACCGTCAAACAGGAAAAACAGCTATTGCACTTGATACAATTATTAACCAAAAATTTATAAACGTATCAAATGATGAATCAGCTAAATTATATTGTGTATACGTAGCAGTAGGTCAAAAAAGATCAACAGTTGCACAAATTGTAAAAACTTTAGAAGATGCAGGAGCATTAGATTACACTGTAATCGTAGCAGCTACAGCATCAGACCCAGCACCATTACAATATTTAGCTCCTTATTCAGGATGTGCAATGGGTGAATACTTCCGTGATAATGGAATGCACGCATTAATAATCTATGATGATTTAAGTAAACAATCTGTAGCTTATCGTCAAATGTCTTTATTATTACGTAGACCTCCTGGTCGTGAAGCTTTCCCTGGAGATGTATTCTATTTACACTCAAGATTACTTGAAAGAGCAGCTAAAATGTCAAAAGCTGTAGGTGGAGGTTCTTTAACTGCACTTCCTGTAATTGAAACACAAGCTGGAGACGTATCTGCTTATATTCCTACAAACGTAATTTCTATTACTGATGGACAAATCTTCTTAGAAACTGAATTATTTTACAAAGGTATCCGTCCTGCTATTAACGTAGGGTTATCTGTAAGTCGTGTAGGTTCTGCTGCTCAAGTAAAAGCTATGAAACAAGTAGCTGGTACTATGAAATTAGAACTTGCTCAATATAGAGAAGTTGCTGCTTTCGCTCAATTCGGAAGTGACTTAGATGCTTCTACTCAATACTTACTAAACCGTGGAGCGAGATTAACTGAAGTTTTAAAACAAGGACAATACTCACCAATGCCTATCGAAAAACAAGTTGTTGTTTTATACGCAGCTACTAGAGGGTATTTAGATAGATTAAATGTTTCTGATATTGAAAAATATGAACAAGCATTATTAAAAGAAATCAGTCCTGAAATTTTAGCTACAATCAAAGATAAAAAAGCTTTATCTGATGAGTTATTAAATAACTTAAAAACTTTCTTTGATGGCTTTACTGATAGATTCATTTCTGTTCGTTAATAATAAATCAATTTTTTATTAAAATTTTAATAAAAAAGAGATAGATTATATACTGAAATTTATTTAGAAAATTATTTAGAAATTTATTTAAATTATTGTCTTTTAATATATTATAAAATAATATATTAAAAGATAATAATTTAAATTTATAACAATTTAATTCTTTTTATAAAAAAGATAAAAACCCAAATAAATAAAAGATTAAACATCTGTTTTAAACATCGGTTTTAAACATCGGTTTTAAACATCGGTTTTAAACATTTGTTTATAAATTTAATTTATAACAGTTTTAAATTATAGTTTCTATTAAAGAAAAATTTTTGAATATTTTTTTATTATGATTATTTCATGTTACTTAATTTCATTTAGTAATGTCAAATTTCATAGAAAATTTATTATAAAAAAATTTATATACTAATTATAAAATAAAAAAAATAATATTTATTAATAATTAGTAGATTCTTAATGATATTAAGAAAAACATTCTTTATTTAAAGAGATTATTTAATTTTATTAAGTAATTAATTTTAGTAAAGAATTTATATATATATAAATAAAAAATTATGAATACTTTAATATTTAGCATAATATTAAAAATCTTAGGATTAACAGTACCATTAGTATTAAGTGTTGCATTTTTAGTATTAGCTGAAAGAAAGGTCTTAGGATCTATGCAACGTCGTAAAGGTCCAAATGTAGTAGGTATTTATGGTGTTCTTCAACCAATAGCAGATGGTTTAAAATTAATAGTAAAAGAGCCGGTATTACCAAGTAGTGCTAATTTAGTAATTTTTGTTTTTGCTCCAGTTTTAACTTTCTTATTAAGTCAAGTAGCATGGGCATCTATACCTTTTAGTGAAGGTGTTGTAATAGCTGACATACATGTAGGTTTATTATATGTATTTGCCATTTCATCTTTAGGTGTTTATGGTATTATTACAGCAGGATGGTCTAGTAACTCTAAATATGCTTTCTTAGGAAGTTGTAGATCTGCAGCTCAAATGGTATCTTATGAAGTATCAATTGGATTAATTTTAATTACAGTATGTATTTGTGCTGGATCTTTAAATTTAACTGATATTGTATTAGCTCAAAAAGAGATTTGGTATTGTATACCATTATTTCCACTATTAATTATGTTCTTTATTTCATGTTTAGCTGAGACGAATAGAGCTCCTTTTGATTTACCTGAAGCTGAAGCAGAATTAGTTGCAGGGTATAACGTTGAATACTCAGCAATGGGATTTGCTTTATTCTTTTTAGGTGAATATGCTAATATGATTATAATGAGCAGCTTATCTTGTATTTTCTTCTTAGGAGGATGGTTACCACCTTTTGATTTTGCCTTATTTTACTGGATTCCAGGTGTAGTCTGGTTTAGTTTAAAAGTAGTTTTCTTCTTATTTGCTTTTATTTGGGTACGTGCAGCTTTTCCTAGATATCGTTATGATCAATTAATGCGTTTAGGTTGGAAAGCTTTATTACCTTTATCTTTAGCTTGGGTTGTTTTTGTTTCTGGTATTTTATTAGGTTTCGACTGGTTAGCTTAATTATATTACAACATTATTAGATTTTATTAAGAACAACAACTAAGGATTTAACTAAAGTTTTATATATTTTAAATTTTATTATATTATTTTTATTTAATAATATAATAAAATTTAAAATAATAATTTATTTAATTACAATAAGAGTACCATTAAAAAGTGTAATTATAAATAACTTATTATATCTAAAAAAAGCGCTTAAATTCATTTGTGATACTAACATTATAAAATAATGTTATATTATATAGATTTATTTTTATTAAGAAAATCTAGAAAATTGATTTACTATTATAGAAAAATTATTTGATTTTTTTATCTTTTATAGATAAAAAATTATCTGGGTTATATACATACTTAATAATTTTATTAAGAAAATAAAAAATGTATTTAACTGGCCATTTAAAATTATAAGTAATATAAAAAAAATATTTTATGTTAGACGGAGCAAAATTAATCGGTGCTGGTTGTGCAACTATTGCATTAGCAGGAGCTGCAGCAGGAATCGGAATTGTATTTGGATCATTAATTAACTCAGTAGCTAGAAACCCAAGCTTAACTAAACAATTATTTGGTTATGCTATTTTAGGATTCGCTTTAACTGAAGCTATTGCGTTATTCGCATTAATGATGGCATTCTTAATTCTTTTCGTATTCTAATAATTTTTTATTAGATTAAAAAGAATTCTATTTTAATTTAAAAATAAATAAGGTTGATATGTATAATTAAATACATATCAACCTTATTTCTTAACGAAGTTATTACTTAATAAAATTAAGTTAAGAAGTTAGTTACTTCGTTAGACTTCGTTATAAGCTAATACAATATTAAATAATGAATTTCTAACATTACATAATAATGTTATAACTTTATTACAATAAAATTGTTATAAAGATAATTTATTAAGATAAATCAAAATATAAAGACGGGATAGTTTAGCGGTAGAACAATGGAATCATAACCCATAAGTCGAGAGTTCGAATCTCTCTTCCGTCATTATTAATTTTACAATAGTTTTATAAAGAAAAAAAAACATAAGTTATTATTATATAACTTATTAGTAAAACTATAACTTAATATAATTAAGTAAATTAATTATATTAAGTAAGACTAAAGATATTAACATTAAAACCATTAATATGGAAAAAACTAAAAAATTAAAAGAAATTTATGATCAATGTTTGCTTATTTCTTTAAATTCTAAAAAAAATAATTCAAATGAGAACTTTATGTTTCCTAATGAAATTAATAAAAATTCTCAAAAAAGCTTTTTAGACTTTCGAGCTATAGATAAACAAATAAATCAACAACCAATTACTACAGCAAATTTAAATCCTTATGAAATAGTATTAAAAGCAACTAAAAATCAAGGGAATTATGATTCTGAAGTAATGAAACAAAATTCATTTAGAAGAGGATTTATAAAAAAAAAGAAATTTTTTTATTCTTTATCACCGAAACAAATAATATTTTCTACTTTGACAAGATTAAATCTTAGAAAAAATATAAGATTATTATATTCAATTCAAGATTTTTTATCAATGAATACTCAAATGAAGCGACATTTAATTCTGTCTAGAGCAAGCACATCTAGAAAAGAAGGCAATTTAGCAAATACTGTTGAAAGAAAATCTAAAGTTTTTGCAGAGATCCTTATTTGTTTAAGAAAGTTAAAAGCATTTTATGGATATATTCCATTAAAACAATTAAATAAAATTTTTGTTAATGCTAAAAAAGCACCAGGTTATTTTTCAAAAAATTTCTTTTCTTTAATCGAAAGAAGACTAGATGTAGTACTTTATCGTAGTGGTTATGCAAAAAACATAATAGCTGCAAGACAAGCATGTTTGCATTATAAAGTATTAATAAATTCTAAAGTTTGTAATATTCCAAGTACTCAATTAAATCCTGGAGATATTATATCTTTTTCTTCTAATTTCATAGTAGAGTCTACTAAAATATCTGGGAATGATTCTGAAAACATATCTGATAAAAACCTAGATAAAAATTTAGCTACATCATCTAATCATATAGAAGAAAATAAAACAAATGATGAAAATGCAATAGATAAAAAAATCTTACGTGGTTTATCAGTTAAAGAATTAAAATTAGTTGCTTTTATTTTAGCAAAACCTATAAGTGAATTTATTGATGACTCTAATTTAAATATTAAATCTAATTTATTTAGAGAAAATAATAATACTAAACATTTAATACCTATTAATAAATCAACTAAAAAATTATTAGTGTTGACATTATGTAATAATGAAAATACTAATACAGGTTTCATTACAAATTTAAATAATTTAGGTGCAGTATTAAAATCAGGAAAATTAACTAAATTAGCTTCTAATAAATTAAAATTATTAAAAAAACAACAAGATAATAATAAACTTATTATTAGAAAATTTGCTAGTAAAGAGTTTAATTCATTGATTTATCCATTAAATAATACATTAAAAAATAAATTAAATATTAAAATGGATATTGATTTTCCAAGTAATTTAATGTTTCATAACTTAGCTGACCTTTCAAAAAGATTAGGATATTATTCACCATTTTTAAGTTTACAACTTCAAAAATATGTATCATATTCTTTAAAAAACTTGAATTCAGCTCTTTCATTAGTTAATAATGAAAAATTTGTTAATAATGAAAATTTAGATAATGATGGATCATCAAAAAAATCAAATGGAAAAGTGTTTAATAAGTTAAAGAATTTAACAAGTGAAGATCTTAAAAAAATTGTTTTTAATCAATTTAATAAGTTTCTTAAAAATAAACCTAAAACTTATAAAAAACCAACAAACTTAGTAACTCATTTAGAAATTTCACCAATTACAAATAATATAATTTTTTTATATTCACCACAAAAAGTTGTATTACCATTTCATTTTGATATTGATATTATATTAATGAAATTGTAATAAAACTAATATAACGAAGTTTAACGAAGTTATAACTTAATTTCATTAAGTTAAGAAATTAAGTAAAATAATGCTTTTAATTGTTTTATTGGTTTACTTGTTTTTTATTAAGTAAACCAATAAAACATAAAATTAAATAAATTAAAAACCTATGCCTACAATTAATCAATTATTAAGAAATAAAAGTTCTCGTAAATTAAATCCAAGCAAACTTAAAAGTAAAAAACCAGCTTTAGCGGGATCACCACAAAAAAGAGGTGTATGTTTTCGTGTATATACTAGAACCCCTAAAAAGCCCAATTCTGCCTTAAGAAAAGTAGCTAAAATACGTTTATGTAATGGTATGGTAGTAATTGCTTCGATACCTGGAGAAGGTCATAATTTACAAGAACATAGCGTTGTATGTATACGTGGTGGCCGTGTTAAAGACTTACCAGGAGTAAAATATAAAGTTGTTCGTGGAAGATTAGATTTACAAGGAGTTGTAAATAGAAAACAATCTAGATCTTTATATGGAACGCGTAAACCTAGTTAATACGCTTTTAATATTATTTCATAATGTCAAACTTTTAACTTTGTTATAATTTCATTAAGTAAAAACTTAATTTTATTAAGTAACAAACTTCTATAAATTAAATTTATAACATGTTATATAACAAATTATAGAAAAAGTTAGTACATTATTTAATAATTTAATAGAAGTTAATTAATTATAACAAAGTAACTAACTTAATGCAATTAAGTTAAGAAGTTGTTTTACACTATTAAAAATAATGTAATTACTACGTTACTAACTTCGTTACAAGTTATAATAAAATTAATTAAAAATATATCATAAAATTTTATGAAGACTACTAAAACTTTAGAAAATAATAAATCAATTCAGATTGAAAATAATACTTTAGCAAAAAAACCAAGTATCTTAAATACTAAAGAAAGTAACGATACAGTTGATAAATTAACGTTTTATAAACAAAATTTACTGAAAGATAAATTTATTAATTTATTAATGTTTGATGGTAAAAAATCAGTTGCAACAAGAGTATTTTTTGCTTCATTATTAATATTAAAACAAAAATATTTAAAAGATTTTCATAATGAAGCTATAATTAAAGTATCAAAGAATAAAGAATCAACACTTTCTTCTATTATTAAGACTAAGCTTTCTAATAAGCAGAAAGAAATAGTAGAAAATTTAAATAATTCTTTAGATAAATCAATAACAGAATCTTTGTCAAAAAATTCAAATAAAAGTAATTCAAATAGATTCTTAAATTCATTAAGAAAAGAAACTATAAAAGAAAATATATCAGTTTTAGATTTAATGTCTAAAGCAGTAGAAAATGTAGCACCTAGTGTAGAAGTACGTAAAGTACGAAGAGGTGCAAATACTTTATTAGTACCCGCTATACTTTCAGATTCAAAAGCAAATAATTTAGCTATACGCTGGATTATTGAATCAGCAAGAAAAAAACAAGAAGCTTCTTTTAAATATTCTCCTGTTGAATATAATAAAACTAATTTTAATATTAATTTAAGTTTTGCTGAATGTTTAGCAGATGAACTTTATCAAGCTTACTCAAAACAAGGAAAAGCTAGACAAAAACGTGAAGAATTACATACTGTGGCAACAAATAATCGTGCGAATATTCGTTTCCGTTGGTGGTAATAATACTTTTTATTTTCTCATTTTTATATATTTAGTATTATTAAAATTTTAATAATACTAAATATATAAAAATACCCTTAATTACATTAAGAGTACCTATTTATTATAAAAGAAAAATTAATTATAAATTTAATAAAATTTTTATTAAATTTATAAAATAAAAACAAATAGTCTTTAAATAAAAGAGTATATAAATAATTTATTACTCTTTTTCGTATTATAATTATTTAATTATTTCATAATGATTTTTATAATTAAAAAAATTATAATACTATTTTAATTTTATTAAAATTTTAACCCTAGTTTTATATGATTAACTATTTTATTTAAATAGTTAATCATATAAAACTTAATGAAATTAAGTTAGAATTATAGAATATTAAAAACCAAATATAAAAACAAATCTAAAAATATGTATCTTGAACAATCTTTTTATAAACAGATATCATTTTCAAGTTTCTTATTTGACAATGATTTTCTAGCGTTGTTCCCAGAGATCTTTTTAGTATCTACTGGTATTTTTTTATTAATTTATGGAGTAATTACTAGTACATCAAAATCATTAAATTATCCATTATTATCTTATAATATTAGTTGGTTTACAATATTAACTTTATTATATACTGCATTTTTAGTTTGGAATAGTCCAATAAACAATGCAGTGATATTTTATAACACTTTAGTGGTTGATGATTGGACACAATTTGTAAAAATTGTAGCTTTATTATCAAGTGCGTGTGTTGTAGCAATGTCTTTACAATATATCAAAACAGAAAGATTAAACGCATTTGAAGCCTTAATTTTAATCATATTTGCCGTTTCAAGTATGTTATTCTTAACATCTTCAGCAGATTTTATTTCATTATATTTAGCTATAGAACTTCAAAGTTTAAGTTTTTATGTACTAGCTGCATTAAAACGAAATTCTGAATTTTCAACAGAAGCTGGATTGAAATATTTTTTATTAGGAGCATTTTCTTCTGGTTTACTTCTTTTTGGTATGTCGTTAATATATGGATATACTGGTGTATTATCTTTTTCAGAATGTGCTAAAATTTTTGCTACTGGTTCTATTTCTGCTGTAGCGAATGCTAGTGCAAGTGAATCAGCTTTACTTTCTTTAGGGATGGTATTCATATTAGCAGGATTTTTATTCAAAATCGCAGCTGCACCTTTCCATATGTGGTCTCCTGATGTATATCAAGGAGCTCCAACTCCAATTACAGCATTTTTCGTAATTACACCTAAAATTGCATTATTTGCAGTATTTCTTCGTGTATTTTTACAAAGTTTTTATGATTTATTTCCTATTTGGCAAACTGTAATAATTTTTGCTAGTTTAGCAAGTATGCTTGTAGGTGCTTTAGCTGCACTTTCGCAAAGTCATATAAAACGATTAATGGCTTTTAGTAGTATTAATCATGTAGGATATTTATTAGCAGGTTTTGCTTGTGCTAGTCTTGAAGGAATACAAGCTTTAGCTATTTATTTAGTAGTTTATATTTTCATGAATATTATTGTATTTAGTATAATATTATGTGATTTAAGACATACTAATATAAATGGATTACCAAGAATAAAATACATAACAGATTTAGCATTTTTAGCGAAAACTAATCCTTTATTAGCTTTCACTTTTAGTGTTGCTATGTTCTCAATGGCTGGAATTCCACCATTAGCTGGATTCTATAGTAAAGCTTATATTTTCTTTGCTGCTCTTGGAAGTAATCTAGGTGTTTTAGCTGTTGTTGGTGTTTGTACAAGTGTTATTAGTTGTTTTTATTATTTAAGATTAATAAGAATAATGTACTTTAGTACTCCTAAAACTTGGGCTAGTCCTGCTCGTATACCAAGAACAAATGCTTATGCTTTAGCTATTTCTCTTTTCTTCTTAGTATTTTGCATGGCTTATCCTTCACCTTTATATTGTATTACTCATAAAGTAGCTATAGCTCTTTGTATATAATATAAGTAGGTTTCTTCATTCATGAAGAATTAATTTTATTATAAATGAATTTTAGTTATTAAAATTCATTTATAATAAACTTGATGGACTTATTAATTTTCCTTAATTACATTAAGAGTACCTTAATACAAATTAAAAAAGAATTAATAATTCAAAAAAAATAATGAACACGATTATATAGTAACGATTATTAGAAAGATTTTTTTATAATTTACTAAATTTTATAATCGTATTAATTTAAACTAAAAAAACTAAATAATTCATTTTTATGTTAGAAATACAATTAAAAATTAAATCTTTTGACCCAAATTATCTAAATAAATGTGTTTCTTTAATAAAAAATATTGTAAATACTTTAGAAATTAAAGAATATAGTGAAGTTTTTCTTCCAAATAAAGTTAGAAAACTTACAGTTATTAGATCTCCGCATATTGATAAAAAATCTAGAGAACAATTTCAATCAGTAACACATCAAAGATCTATAAATCTAGTTATTGATAATTATAAAGTTGGAAAGCTTTTTTTAAATATGTGTAAAGAATTACATGTAATTGGGGTACAAATGAAAATATCACTTTTTTATAATTCATCTTTATAAAAAAATTTCTATTTTTATTTTATCTTTAAAGAAAATAATATTTTTATTCTTACTTAATTATTAATATTATTCTAATAATATCTGTTATAAATTTAATTTATATGAAAGGTAAAAAATAGAAAAAAAATGAAACCTATAAATAAATCTTTAGATAAAAATTATGGCAAATAAAAAAAAACTTATACAAAATTCTAAAACTTTAAGTATTTTAGAAGATTATTCTTTTGTTTTATTTCTACAACAACCTCAACAAACTAACATATCTCTTTTAGAAAAAGTAATTGAAAAACATCAAACTGTTAAAGCTAATAGTTTAACATTACTAAATCAAGAGGTAGATAAAAAAACAAAATTACAACTCTTTAGATATAAAAACACAATCATAAAGAAGTGTATTTCAGATATTGACGGTAAAAGAGAAAAAATAAATGCTATGACATTATCTTATAATGTCAATCTAAATGCTATATTTCAAGGACCAAACTTATTAATAGCGGGCAATGATTTAGAAAAATTACCATTGCTTTGGAAAAGCATCAATTCTATACCACATTTATTTTTTTGTGGGGCTATTGTAGAAAATACTGTATACAACAAATTAGATTTTGAAAAATCATTAGAATGTGTATACAACTCAACACCTCAAGATGTTTATAATAAATTGGTTTTTACTTTAAACCAAGCAACACAAATTAACAGTTTAAGTGTAGCGATGGAATATAAATTATCTGCTATACGTTCTTCATTATGTGAAGAAAAAAAATTAAATACAATAAATAATTAAATAAATACTATTTATTTTGTTTTTAGTTAATTTTATATTATTTACTTAGTTATTTATATTAAGTAAAATAATAAAATTAATAAAGAATAAAAAACAGTTAGTTTTAATAATCAAAATAATATAGTATTTATTTTATTTAAACTTTATAATAATATATAAAATATGGGACAAAAAACAAATTCAGTATCATTAAGACTTCAATATGGTAATAGAAAATTTGATAGTTCTTGGTATAGTGACTACTTTTATGCAGATTGTTTTGCTAAGGAATTCTATTTAAGAAAATATTATAATAAATTTTTAAAATCTATGAAATTACCTGAAGCACGTTTTTTCGTAAATTTTGGAATAAATAATATAAAAGTATATCCTTTCCTTTGTATACCAAAACAAACTCGTGTTTCTTTAGCTAGAAATTTTGGTATAACTAAAAACTTATCTAAAGCTTGGTTATCTATAAATGAAAACGATACTTATAATATAAGCTCAAAGAAGGCACGTAGTTGGCGTAATATTAGCAATATTAGCAATTTAAGTAACTCTTTTACTACTTCAAGAAATTGGCGTTTAAATGCTCGAATAAACCAAAAATTAGCACGTCAATATAATATAAATTCTAATATCAAAACTAATCAAAAAATTATTAAAAAAAAAATAATAAATATATTAAATAATCAATTATTTTTTAACAATTACCCTATTCTTAATAATAATAACAAACAAAATTTATATACTTTTTCTAATGAAACAAAGTTAACAACAAATTCTAAGAATGTATATAACAATGCTTTTATTAAATTAAATAAATTATCAAAGAAAAATAACTCTTTTCAATTTCTAGAAAATATTACTACAAGACTTTTATTAAAAAATTCTTTTTCTAAATTATTTTCAAAAGATTATTCAAAATTATTGACAAAACCTCAAGGTACTAGTCTTAATATTAATAAATCAAGAAAAAACCAAGAAATCAAAGTTTTAGATTTAAAATCTTCTGGAAATTTAAATTTTAATATCGATCAAATTAATTTTAATCAAGAAAATAAACAAGAATTATACAAACAAGGCTTAAAATCATTATTAGCTAATTATTATAATTCTAATAATTCATCTAATTTTTTAAAAAATGAAATTAATAATAATTTAGTAGGATTAAAAAATATTGCAAACCTAAGTGAAAAATTACAAGATCAGGATTTTAAAATAATAAGAACTAAATTAAAAAATCAAGTTAAATTTAAAAAACGAAAAACTAATGATTTAACAACTATACCAAGTTTTAATCAATATAGTTTAGTTAATGAAATTAATACAATTGATACTAATTTAAATATTAATAATTTAGAATTTTCTAATAATCTTGTAGATTTAAAGAAAAATGCAATATTCAAAGTTTTAGAAAATTCAAAAGAAAGAAGTTATAGAAATAATTTTAAATATAAAACACATATTGAGAATTATTTATCATCGGCATATAATATGGATTTACAATTATTTCCTATTGTAAGTTCACAACCTTGGCAAAGCGCTGGATTTATTGCAGATGAAATTGTTTATTTTTTAGAAAGACGTGTACCTTTTTCACGTATAAAAAATAGATTATTAAAACAAGCTAGTATGCAACCATATATTCGTGGTTTACGTATTACTTGTAGTGGACGTGTTGGTGGAAAATCAAAAAAAGCACAACGTGCTACACAAACTTGTGTAAAATATGGTCAAACATCATTACATGTATTTGATTGTAAAATTGATTTTGCTTCAAAACCTGCCTTTACTTCTTTTGGAACAGTAGGGATTAAAGTTTGGATCTGTTATACTTAATGAAATTAAGTCAAGAAGTTAAGTAAATTAATAATATAAATTTTTAATTATTTTCTATAGAAAGTTTTCTATAGAAATTTGGTTGAGTAACATAATGGTAATGTATGAGATTGCAAATCTTATAATGGCAGTTCGATTCTGCCCTTAACCTTTAAATTTTTATATTATATAGAATTTATTGTTAATTTGATTAAGAAAATAGTATTAAAAAAGGTAGAATTAACATAAAAATAGTTCTGACTTTTATTAAGACAATAACAACTTCAAATAGAATTATTAATTCCATTAAAGTAGTATTAAAATTAAATAAAATATTGTAACTTTATTAGGGGTGTGTAGCTCAGTTGGTAGAGCATCGGGCTTTTAACCTGATGGCCGTAGGTTCGAGCCCTGCCATACCCAATATATTTTATTTTATTTTTTACTTAATAAAGTTAATTTTACTTAATTTCATTAAGTAAATAAGCGGAGAAGAGCAATTGGTTCCGCTCGTCAGGCTCATAATCTGAAGGCTGTAGGTTCGAGTCCTACCTCCGCTCTTTCATTATTATAAAGTAAATATTATATAATAATAATAAATTAAAAATCTAAGAAATTATGCAAGAATATACTAATTTAAAATCTTCCAATACAATAAAAAAAGATCAACTAGTAAATAATCTAGAAATTTCAAGTAGTTATTATAATTCTAGTGTACATATAGGTCATAGACCTGTTCCTTTAACTGAAACTAAACCTTGGCATCCGTCAATGGCTCCATATCAGTTAGGGATACGTAAAAAAATTACAATTTCTAATGTTCAACAAACTAAAAAAGCACTAGCAAGAGCTTTTTATGTTTTAACTAAAATTTTAGAAAATGGCGGAAGCTTATTAATTGTAAATACAAACCCAGCTTTTTACGACTTATCTGTAAATAGTATGAAATATATGGAAAAGAATTTACCAGCTCATAGTTTATTATCTGTATCTCATTGTTTTTATAAATGGGTTGGAGGAACTTTGACTAACTACAAACAAATTTCGAAATCTATATATAGTTATTTAAAATTTTCTCAACGTTTTGGAAAAATATTAGATAAATACAAAATTAATTTTCCTAGATACGAAAAAGTACAAAAATCTTTTCAAGGTTATGGATATATTGTAAATAATAGTACTACTGGCGAAACATTGTCTAATAATGTTAGCACTAGTATTAAAATGTCTTTACAAACAAAGCCTGATATTATTTTTTTATTTAATCCTGGAGAAAATCAACACTTAATACGTGAAGCAAATAGATTACAAATTCCTATAATTGCTTGCACTGATAGTAGTAGTAGTTCATTAGGAATTGCTTATCCTATTCCTGGAAATAATGGATCTATTGATTTTAATCTATATCTTTTTAAAAAAATATATAAAGTTTTAGCTTTTGTATCGTCGAAAAAATTAAATGATTTAATTAATAAATCTAATAAAAATATTAACTAATTTGTATTAATACCAACTATATTCTTAACAAAATAATAATTTTATTAAGAAAACACTATAAAAAGTTTTTATTAATACAATATAGTTTTATTTTTATATTAATTTTATTACAATTTCTTCATTATTATAAATAGAAAATTATATATTTATTTAAAGATTATAATGCGGAAATAGCTCAGTGGTAGAGTGTTGCCTTGCCAAGGCAAATGTCGAGGGTTCGAATCCCTTTTTCCGCTTTATTTTTAATTAGATTAAGAATACTTCGTTAAATTAGTAAATCTTAATGTAATACAATAAGAAAAAACTGAAAAATAGGAATATTCTTTATACAGAAATAAATAAAATTTTTAAATTATAATTTTTTTAAATGAAATTGTAATTTGTTCAAGTTAAAGAGAATGTACATTTAGTGGATACCTAGATAAAAGTGAATATCATAAGTAATTTATGATTGGGACGTATAGCGAAACGAAAAGCTGTTCTTATTGTCGTAATACAAGTGAGAACAGATCTCCTTAGAGGAAACTCTGTATATTTAATAAAACCTAGTGAATTGAAACATCTCAGTAACTAGAGGAATAGAAATCAACCGAGACTCCGTTAGTAGTGGTGAACGAACGCGGATTAGGCCAATTAATAGAATAAAAAAATTAGAAAATAAATAAGTAAGTTGAAATACCACGCCAAAGAAGGTTATAGCCCTGTATTATTATTCATAATTTTTCTACATTAGTTTGTAGAACTATTAATTTAATGAGTAGAACGAGACTTAACTTGTTTGAAGATAGGGGGACCACCCTCTAAGCCTAAGTACGCACTTTTGATCGATAGTGAACTAGTACCGTGAGGGAAAGGTGAAAGAGAAGTGAAATAAATATTGAAACTGGATGTATACAAGCACTCAGCGCTTTATATAATTTTTTATATAGAGTAATGGGGTACCTTTTGTATAATGGGTCAACGAGTAAATAATGGAAGCTAGCTTAAGCTGTTAAGTGGAGGCGGAGTAAATACGAACATGAGTTTCTTTTATTTGACCCGAAACCAAGTGATCTAGTCATGAGCAGGTTGAAAAAATGTTAACACGTTTTGGAGGACCGAACTCACACATGTGGCAATATGTGGAGATGACTTGTGACTAGGGGTGAAAAGCCAATCGAACTTGGAGATAGCTGGTTTTCTGCGAAATCTATTTAGGTAGAGTCTAGAACAAATTGATAGATAAAAAGGGGGTAGAGCACTCGTTGGGTAAGGGTGGCCCAAAGCCTTACTAAATCCAGGGAAACTCCTAATACCTTTTTATAATTTTCTAGAAACAGACTTTGAGTGCTAAGGTTCAAAGTCAAGAGGGAAACAGCCCAGACTGAACGCTAAGGTTCCAAAGCATATATTTAGTGGTAAAGGAGGTTATTAAGCTTAGACAACCAGCAAGTAGGCTTAGAAGCAGCCATCTTATAATGAAAGCGTAGTAGCTCACTGGTCTATTTTTTTAAAATAAAAAGGGCTTAATTGCGCCGAAAATGTAACGGAGCTAAAATATATCACCGAAGCGGCAGCTATACTAATTAAAGTCATAAAACTCAATTCTTAGTATAGGGTAGCAGAACGTTCTGTAAGTATATTATGGTGTATTCGTGAGAGTGCACTTTTATATCAGAAGTGAGAATGTTGACATGAGTAACGTAAAATCATGTGTAATTCATGATCGCCGAAAAATTCAGTGTTTTCTACATACTGGAATTCAGTGTAGAGTTAATCGGCCCCTAAGTATGTAAGCGATTGCTTTAATATAATGGGTACAAGTTTAAAATTTCTTGATTAAGTTTCTATGACGGATAGTACCTAATTTAGAAGATAAATGGATTTCTTTTAAATTATAACTATTCCAGGAAAAAAAGAGACTGTTTACAATTTGTTCTTAATTTCATTAAGAAAAGTAAAATACCGTACTGACCGACACTGGAGAATAAATAGAGTATATTAAGGCGTAGAGAGAATCATATTAAAGGAACTCGACAAAATGCCTCCGTAACTTCGGGATAAGGAGGAGCAGTGCTATTGTTATAAATTTAATTTATATTAATATTACTGCTGGCACAGAATAGGAAGCAGCGACTGTTTATTAAAAACACAGGACTCTGCTAAGCGGTAACGCGACGTATAGGGTCTGACACCTGCCCGGTGCTGGAAACTTAAGTGGAAAGGTTTGTTGCTATTTTTTTAAAATAAATTCAAGCTTCGAAATTAAAGCCCAGTAAACGGCGGCTGTAACTCTAACAGTCCTAAGGTAGCGAAACGCCTTGTCGGGTAAGTTCCGACCTGCATGAATGGTGTAACGACTGCTTCGTTGTCTCTAATATGATCTCAGTGAAATTGAATTCTCCGTGAAGATGCGGAGTTCCCAAAAATAGACGGAAAGACCCTATGCATCTTTACTGCAGCTTTACATTGAAAAAGGGTATTGAATGTAGAGGATAGGTGGGAGTTTATATATTTATTTATATAAACAACCTTGGAATACCACCCTTTCTTTATCGTTTTTCTAACTTAAATTATAAGGACACTGTATAGTGGGTAGTTTGACTGGGGCGGTCGTTTTCTAAAACGTAACGAAAACGTGCGAAGGTAAGCTCAAGCTGGAAGGAAATCAGCTGTAGAGCATAATGGTATAAGCTTGCCTGACTGTGAGACCTAAAAGTCAAACAGAGACGAAAGTCGGCCATAGTGACCCGGGAGTACTTCGTGGAAAGGCTCTCGCTCAACTGATCAAAGATACGCTAGGGATTTAGTTTGTAGTCCCGCTTTATAGCGATATAAAGGCAACAACTGGGTGAATTGCAAGAAGGCTAAGGTTTTTTTAACTTAATGAAATTAAGGTAACATCTTTCTTAATGAAATTAAGGTTTTTTATTTTATTATCAAATATTGAAAAAATTAGGTTAATTTGCAGCGAAGCTCTTTGAAAAAGATTTATTAATGAAGTTAATAAAAATCATTATTATATAATGATTAGTAAAAGAGAACGTTCAACGACTAGAGAATGAGGACATCTTAACCAATAATTTCTCCACGAGCGCCCAGCAACTCAATTTATTTTATTAATTAATAAGATTAAGTTAGAGTTGATGACATAGTCTGAACTATATGGAAACATATAGAAATAGAAGATAAACACTTCTGTGATAACATAATTGAACAGGCTGATGACTCCCAAGAGCTCTTATCGACGGAGTCGTTTGGCACCTTGACTTAAAAAATATAGACATTTCGGGGTCTTATTTTGGCAACAAAATAATGTAAATTTGGCTATATGCTGGAACATCCGGAGTATCCAAAATCGCAAGAATCTAATGAATTTTTGAAAAAGTATTTTGGTGCGGACAATCAGCAGGGAAGTTTTTTAAGTTGAAATATAAGATTTAAAATAACCCCTCAACGACTGCACGCCGAATATCTAAAATTTATTTAAGAGATTTATTCTTAATAAAAAGAATAAAAAATAATTTAGATAATGATACAGTCTGCTCTTCTAGGCGACTAGAAGGTTAATATTTTATCAAATATTAACATTGAATTAATTATAATTTTTTTTTTAGAATTTATGAATACAATTACAAAAAAAAAATTAACTAAATTACAACAAGAAGTTTTAATTGGCATTCTTTTAGGAAATGCTAAGTTACAAACTTTTAATGAAGGTATTACTTATAGATTACGAATTCTAGACGAAAATAAACAATATATAGAAGATTTATATAATATTTTTAAGGACTATACTATTACACCTCCAAAGCAAATAATTACAAAAAAAGGAGAAATTCGTTGGTATTTTAATACAATAGCTTTTCCAGGGTTTAGATTTTATGCACATCAATTTTATGATAAAACTGGTAGAAATAAAAAAATTCCTAAATTAATACATCGTTGGTTAAGTCCACGAAGTTTAGCGTATTGGTTTATGAATTCTTCGAAATGGAATCAAACTAAATATAATAAAAAATTAATAAGTATAAGATTATCAACAAATTGTTCTGAAAAACATGAATTAATTCTTCTTTGTGAAGCTTTTAAACGATGTTATGATATAGTTCCTAATTTAATAAAATTACAAAAACATAGAATAAATCAATATATTATATATATTCCGGTTAAGTGTTCTTTGAAATTTTTTAATATAATATTTCCTTTTGTTTCAAAAGAAATGACCTTTTGTTTCAAAAGAAATGACCTTTTGTTTCAAAAGAAATGAAACAAAATGAAAGTTAAATATAAAATTCAATAATCTTTTATTATAAGTATACTTTACTTAATTTTATTAAGTAAATAAATTCAATTAACATAAAAGCGATGTCGACTCAACTTATCCTCGAGCTGTAGAAGGTTCGAAGGGTTCGGCTGTTCGCCGATTAAAAAGTTACGTGGTTGGGTTTAATACGTCGTAAGACAGTATGTATCCTATCTTTTTTGGGTGGTTAAAGAATTGACAGGAGGATTTCTTTGTACGAGAGGACCGGAAATCGCGAACCTCTGGTGTATCAGTTGTTATGCCCATAGCAGCGCTGAGTAGCTAAGTTCGTAATAGATAACCGCTGAAAGCATCTCAAGCGGGAAACTAGCCTGAAAACAAGTTCTTAAAAAATCGTAGAAGAATACTACGTTGATAGGTGGAAAGTGTATAAATAGCAATATTAGAGCTAATCCATACTAAATTATTATATTATTTTATTTTTTTATAAAATAAAGAAACTAAATATTTTTTCTAGTTCTATCTTATTAATTTAAGATAGTTCTGGAAATTAATTTAGAATTTTTTTATTTCTATATTTTAGTTTAAATAAATTTTATTTATATATAATTTATTTAGGCGGGTATGGATTAATGGTTAAATTTTTTGCCTTCCAAGCAAACGATATGGGTTCGATTCCCATTACCCGCTATAAGATTATATTATTTTTTTAATTAAAAATTTTAACAGAGTATGGCGCAGTCCGGTAGCGTGCCCGTTTTGGGAACGGGATGCCGCAGGTTCAAATCCTGCTACTCTGATTTTTTATTTATTGTATTACAAATGGCTAATAAATTTGTATTTTCTTAATATAATTAATTTAGTTATTAGAATTATAATAAAATAATCATGTAATAAATCACTTATTTGGTAAGTGCTTATTGAAGTTAATTTTAAAATAAAAGAAGTTTTTTTATGGTTAAAGAAAATTTTTAGAAATAAAGAAAAGATTTAAATTTTTAATATTTTTGTTAAATTTTTGGTGAATCTTGATAGATTTATTTATAGTTTGTTTCTGCCATAGCTTAACAAAAACAAATATGTAAAAATATTCTTCTTTTTATTAATTTATGTTAATAAAAAACTTAATTATTTCAACTTTTTGTTAAGTTCTTTTTAATTTTATTATGATCACACGTTGGTTATATTCAACAAACCATAAAGATATTGCAATCCTTTATCTTATTTTTGGTGCATTCAGCGGAGTTTTAGGAACTGTATTTTCAATTCTAATCCGTATGGAATTAGCACAACCTGGCAATCAAATACTTGCAGGTAACTATCAACTTTATAATGTAATTATTACAGCTCACGCATTTTTAATGATTTTCTTCATGTTAATGCCTGCATTATTAGGTGGATTTGGTAACTTTTTCATACCTATCTTAATCGGAGCTGCTGATGTATCTTTCCCACGTTTAAATAATATTGGATTTTGGTTATTACCACCATCTTTAATTTTATTATTAAGCTCTGCTTTAGTAGAAACAGGAGCTGCAACTGGCTGGACGGTTTAATGGATATAAGCTGTCTTTAAATATCACTCGATGCGAGAAAAACCTATGTTTTTAATATTATTTTTAACATTGTGTTATAATGTTAATAACATTAGTTAAGAAATAATGTAAAAACTATATAAAAAGTACTCTTAATTTATTAAATTTTTTTTACTTAATTTCATTAAGGAACAATATAACAATTAAAGTAAAAATCTTTTTAGGAAAGGTTAATTCGCCTGAATAGTTCTTTAGTATAAACAAAAAGATCTATTCATCAGAGACTACATGTGATATAATTTCTCTTTATTTAATTTTTGTAATAATTTATGAAAAATATTTATATAGACAAACAAGATTTTTATGAATGGTTAGTAGGACTTACAGATGGAGATGGGTGTTTTTCAATTAATATTCAAAAAAATTCTCTTTGCTTTACTTATAAAATAAGTTTATCAACTAATAATTTACAGTTACTTTATTATATTAAAAGTGAATTAAAAATTGGTTCTGTTACTATTGAAAAAAACAGAAAAATGGCTTCATTTCGAGTAAGGGATTCACAAAAATTAAATGATATTATTTTACCAATTTTTGAAAAATATCCTTTATTTACTAAAAAATATTATGATTTTATATATTTTAAAGAAGCTTTAAATTTTAAATTAAAATCACAAAATAATAAAGATGATGTTAAAGAATTTTGGATTCTTGCTAAAAAAAAAAGAAGAGTAAATGAAACTCCACTTATTTCACCAAGAATTTATAAAAATCTTACACCAGATCAAGTAGATTCTTTTTTCATAAATTTAGATAAATTTTATGACTCTAAAAATTGTTCTATACTTTTAGATTTAATTAAAATATATAAGTTAAATTTAGTTTTTCCAAAATTTTGGGTTATTGGCTTTATTGAAGCTGAAG